TGTCACTCGTGGGGTGCAGGGACAGCTGTTTGCCAGAAAGCAGTGACAGAGAAAGGAGGGGAGGGCTTGTCTGTGGCTGGTGGATCTTCTCTTATTTCACTATTTGGCTAACAGCAACATGAATGTGTGTGTGATTGCAGCACTGGTATTTTATTCCAATCTGATAATGGCACTATTTTGAGCCTTTGAAGAAAGGTGAGAGGTGAAAGTGCTGAGAAACAAAGAGTTACAGAAACCACATCTCTCTACCATTCCAGCTTTGTTTTCTGCTGTCACAAAAAATTGCTGAGTGACTTGGATGTCTTCTGTGTAAAATGAGCTGATTTAAGTCTTAGCTGGAGAAAGGCAATCTTCTACAGAAGTGGGCTACAAGCAGAAATATTTTGGTAGGTGGGGTGAATGCATTCTTCTATCGGCACAGATAATATTAGGTGCAAACTCTTGGCAAAATTCTTGACATTAGTATAAATACACAAGACAGAGGCCTAATTTAACTCTCTTAGCTTAGGTAATTTCACTTACATTGAGTGCTGTGATATTTGAGACATTTTACAGCACAAATTTCCAATATAAACTTTGTGCAATGTTGCTGTTCATTGTGATTTTGAGACCTGGTGATTAAGTAATTGAAGAACAACACATCCCTAGATGAACATCTTTCCTTCTCTCTTGCTCTTGCTAAACACTCCTGTGCAGACATAATGGATGCTGTGTGCAGAGAGGTCTTTGTGTTTTATAAATAAAAATGTCTTTTTAGAAAGTTTCTATGGAACATTGTAAGCTGGAATCAATAAAAATTGGAATTTTCTATAAAGTACAGAAATACAGAAAACATCTTGTTTTATAGGAAGAAATTTCTGTTCCTTCAGACTAGGTGATGGTCTGTCAGATAGTAGGTTATTGTTGGGTCAAAATAATGCACACACCAACTGTATGGGTGGTTTTGTGCATAAAATGATTTTTTGTTATTTCTTTGTCAGATTCTGATTTTGTTGTTATACCTGCCCACCACTTTGAACAAGAGGAATTGTTGTTTTGGCTTATAGGAACTGTGCCACCCCTATCACCTGAAGAGAAGAATTGAATAAGAGAAGTAACAGAAAAAAATCAGTTTGTATACACCATTCCCTAGCTTTTATGACATTTGCTCTACAAAGCTGACTTCCCCTTTCTAAGCAATACACTGAGCAGGTTTCTAGTTTGCTGTATGGTTAAGCAGCACTGGAATACTGGATTCTTTTCAGTTGCTGAATGACACAAAGCTTTTGCTCATTTGTGGCAGAGTAGAGTAATTAATATTGGCATTTTTTAGGCTGGTTACCTGTGCAAGCATATTTTTATAAGGTTGTCTTGCATTGGATTAATTGAAGCTTCAATGTCTTGAAATGGAAGACTTTATTTTATACTACAACATCTTTCAAGAAAAGAAGTTTTCATCAATTTAGAAAGCTTAGGTTTGATATGCCTGGGAAAGGATTGGTCTTGCACAGGAAGCTTTTAAAAACTGCTCTATTTCACAGTTCTACTAAGACCTGAATTTCTTAGCAAACCTGTCATATATTTACAAGAAATAAAGTTGTGAAGGACAATTGTAAGAGAATTGATGCTGCATCTAGAATATTGGACTAGTATTGTTCCAAGCCAAAGAAATATCAGTATGGCAAACAGGGAAAGGAAATACTCATGCTGATGGAATGAAGTATTGATTTAAGAGGGGGTCAAAAATCTGCTGTGTGCTATAAATAAAGAAAATAATAACTTGTAGTTGCAAAAGTGCACTGGTGTTTGTTTATTATTTTAGAGGTCTTTGAGATTCTTAAAAGTGGTAATATTGGAAAATATGTAGGACTATAATCCTGTTTTAAAAATAGATACTCTAAATTATCTGATTTGGCATGAAGATGGACAAACATTGACTGGAAAAAATACTCTGCTTCTGAAGAAAGTATACATATATATAGTATATTTATAATTCTCTTTTTAAAAGCTATGCAGAATTTTAGCTCCATGTATTATTTCAGTTGGAAGGAACTAAGCTATGTAAGTGATTGGTAACACTGACTTTAGGCTAAAGGTAACTCCCATCATTAAGAATCGGCCTCTGTGCTTTTGTTGGCTTTTAGTGATCAGACTGGGTGAGGACTAATAACCTTTAGAAGCTGAAGAATTTGTACAGCTTGTAGTAAAGATGTGCAGACAAATTCATCAATTAAAAAAAAGAGAAAAATTATCAGTCTCAGTAGGATCATTGTATCTCTGTCAGCACAATCTCCATCTGCTGCTGTTCTACAAATGTGACTATATTTGTACCTTCAGGCAAACCAGGCAAAACATTATTATGTGAAATAGTAAATTCAAGTTTTGAACTCTACAGCATGCTATTCTGGTTTTAAAGACAGTACCTGGAGCAGTGAGACTGCTTTGATTGTAAAATGGATTACATACAGAGACTTGGGAAAATTATATAGTGGCTATAGTTGTCAAGGAATGGGCTCATTTGGTGCATTTGCTGTCAGTGAGAATCAACTGAGGACAGTGATGCTCCAAAAGCCTTGCTGAGCATGTGCTTGGGAATCTGCGCACTAGAGGTTTGAGGTTGGAAAAAGAGGAAGGGAAGCATGGATGGGTGGAAGGTCTGCAACTCCACCAAGGCTTTATTTGGGTGTCCCTGGCATTAAGGAACGGGAGCTCTTGCCCTTGAGTGGCTGAGCAATCACGCTGTCCTTGGGTCCAGTCTTCCTTTTGTGTTCGTTTCATAACCAGCTGCATTGTTAATGTGCAAGGACTGGTTGTTTTTTATAAGACACTTTTTTGTTTCTTTTAAACTAGAAAGATGAAAACTACAGAAGCCTACCACGAGATACTAGTAGCTGGTCTAACCAGTTTCAGAGAGACAATGCTCGTTCATCGTTAAGTGCCAGTCATCCCATGGTGGACAAGTGGCTGGAGAGGCAAGAACAGGTAATATATATGTGTATATATATATATTACTTTATCAATCTAATCTTCATGCTACTCCAAGCTATTACAAAGAAGTGTATTCTTACCTGATATAGGCTCTTTAATCATGATAGAAGCCCCAGCAGTATGCTGACTACATTTGTATGGGATTCCTTCTGCTTCAAAAAAAAACTGCATTTAAACTAAAATAGACATCTGAAAATCATTTCATTTTTGAGTTCATAAACACATTCCTATAGTATATGGAGTGCTGCTGTTCTTCACAACTGATAACAACAGGGTTATTTTAATTAGTATTGTTTTGATAAACACTGCCATTGAAATCCAACGATAATACTACATGGTAACCAAATGTGGATCAGTTTTGGCACTGCACTTTTAAATGCTTGTTATTTTTAATACCATAAAACATATTAATTATAATTTTTAAGACAATATTATGTTTATTTAGTGTCTATTTAAATTGCTTTTTATCTTAGGCTTTTTTGAGACATTTAGCAGTTCCAATTTGCAGTTGTTTTAATTTTATTTATTTAATTCTTAATTTATTAATAAGCTGGTAGTTAGAGAGGTTTCAAGGTCTGAAATTCAAATTACCTAGCAGTCATTTCATGTCTTTATATATGCCTGAAATTTTCAAAGAAGTATCTTCAGATGTATACAGAAAATGCATCTTTAATATGGAAATTGGAAGTACAGCAGCAAGCTCATATGTAGGGTAGTGCATATGTAGCCTTATTGCCTCATTTTTTTTCTTTATGCAATGTGCCATGAAAATACTAAATTTCTGCATTGAACGAAAATGTACAAATTTTCTATTTTACAGCAATAGGACATAAAACCAAATCTTGCTTTATACAGAGGAGCTTCAAAATGAAATTTGCCCAGGCTTTGCTACATTGTACCGTGTGAATGGAAGGGAAGGTTTATAATCCAATCCCTGGTGTCCTGGGACTGATCTTCACCCACAAATCCCTTACGGATAGTTGAAGTTTGGCATTGCTGAATCATAGCATACTCCAAACATTCTTTATTCAAGCCCATTCTTAGTTTAAAAGGATCTTAAGTAATATCACAGAGTATTAAAAAAAACATCAGCCTCCTCCCAAATGTGAGTTATTAACTATTTTTGTGCCTCATAATTATCTGCAAATGAAGTATATGTTCTGTGAGAAAAATTCTGTCTTTGGTCTTTCAATTTTTTCCTCTGCATATTTAATGCCAGTGTTCTTTCCATTGCTGTTTTCCTCCAAGAAGATATAGTGTTAGGTTGGATGAAGTGAGCTGCTGTCTCTGTGTCAGCCTGTGTTGAAAGAGAAAGTCAGTGCCCAGATTTGAAGGCACCTCCTGTGTCAGTTCTGCTTGTTTGATGTTGTCGAGGCATATTTCCATGCATCATTAGATTTACACTATGGCAGTTAATGAAACTGTTGTCTCAGCAAAAGAAGTTGGATTAGAAATCTTAATAGTAATCATCTTGTAAAATGTTGGGTACATGAAATTTTAATATATGATATTTCATATTAAGCTTTGTGTTGATTTTAGTCTCTGAACAGCTTAACTAGTTCAATTTGTTCACCAATTAGGTGAATAATTTGCCAGTAATGGTAGAATGGAAGCATATTTGTTACCAGAGTTAACTACTTGCAGTTTGAAATTGTAAATATGATGTTTCTTTAGAGCAAGTTCTCTGCTTTTTGTTTGTTTGTAATGCTGTTTTTTAAGAGAGATGGTTTATTCTTTGAATATGTTAATGATTCTGCATGTACCTGGAAGATCAAGATCCTCTTGCTGTTTCATATCAGCAAGATAATTAGTTAAACTGAAACCTGTTTAACAGAATAACTACAGGAGAAGAAAGTCTGTTGGGAGAGTGGGATGCACTACAGGGAAGAAGGGAAGGGCCTGGCAGGGGATGGAGTAGCTGCAGACAGAGATACTCTTCCACACTATTTGGTGTTTTTAATATCTTCTTCAGTATCTGCTGTGGGATGTTGTTTCCCACTGGTTAAACCTTCACTTCTGGGAAAGGGAAGGTTGCAATCTGGCATAATCAGTTTATTTAGCAACTTCCAGTTGTGTTCCTGTGTGCTTGGCAGAGCTGTGAGGGGCTGGAGTGCTCTGTGCGCCCACCAGGACGTGCATAAGGAGTAGCAGACAGCAGGTCTGGCACCAAGGGTGAGGCAGCAACAGTGCCAAGAAACCTGTAGGGCAGAACCCATTACAGATACCAGGGGCATTAAAAGTCCTGATCTAATGTGCCTTTATGGCTCTTCAGACAACGTAGTGGAAAACACTGAGTTCATCTTTCAGACTCAGAGACTTTTTGTTGGATGAAGGCTCTTCTGTCTGGGCTCAAATTATTTCTCTCAAAGCTGGCCTCATCTCTTTCTCTTGACTATAAGGCAAGAAAGAATTCCAGGGTGATCTTTGTGACCTTCTAGCATAAATGAATATTCCCTGGCATTACATTTTGAAAGTGTGATGTGCCAAAGAAGTACAATTATTTTTGTGTGGACAACACCTAATTTCCTATAAAAGCACTAGGGAGCAAACTGTAGTGCTACAGCATCACAGATCATTCTGAATATGAAAGAAGAGACATTGTTTCTGGGAAACCATTATAAACCCCTGTAGCAGGGATTAATAAGGGCATAGAATTAAGTATGTTCAGGTAGGTGTTTGAGAAATAGTTCTGTAAACTTGTCTAGGTTTTAGCACTTAAAAATGGAGGAATGTATGAAGCCTGTTAAAATTTCTGGCAATAATTACTTTTGCTCGTATCTGTTGAGTTTTACTTGGGCTCTAGTAAATTAGAGTGATACATCAAATAAATGGAAAAGACTGTCTGGTTTACAAGTCCTTTAAGGTGTTCTGGTTGTATGTGCTGGTTAGCTGTATCTGCCTAACAATTGTTCCCAGTTAGTTCCAGAGCCCTCTGGTTGTTCACAGGATAAATGACCCATTTGTTTTTCAGTAACCTCTGGTATTTCTCAAGCCCATGACATAAGTAATGTGAAACTCTATACCAAAAAATAATTTCACCACTATGGAGCCAAAAATGCAAATTCAGTTTCAGAATACTTTTAGAAAGGTAAGGATTTTTAAGGGACTTTTTACAAGGTCATGTAGTGATAGGACAAGGGGGTATGGCTTTAAACTGACAGAATAGGTTTAGATTAGATACAAAAGGGAAACGTTTCATTAGGAGGGCAGTGAGGCTCTGAAACTGGTTGCTCTAAGAAATTGTATACCATCAAGGCCATGTTGGATGGGACTCTGAGCAACCTGGTCTAGTGAAAGTTGTCCCTGTCCATGGCAGAGGGATTGGAGCTATAGGTGATCTTTAAGGTCCCTTCCAACCCAAACCATTCTGTGATTCTGTGATTGTAGTTTTTACTCTTTCACTCAATTAATTCTTTTTTACTGATTGTCAAGTACTAGGGAAAAAAAAGTGCAATCTTTAATTTCACTCTGGAATAATCTTTAAAAAGAAAAAGATGGTTTTTGTTCTTTGCCTTGACCTCCACAACACCTTCCTTTTCCCCACAGCAACCAAACTTTAAAGAATAGTTGAAAAAACCTTATTTTCTCTGAAATTTATTCATATATATGGTAATGTCACTTTTATTTGAGAACTCTTTCTTCCTTCAGTTCACCTCAAGACTTGCTTGGGCCCTGATCAAATCTGGCCTCATGCTGTTTCATACCAGGGAGACATGAAAGGGAATGCGTGAAAGAGTTAAAGTTTTCACCAATTCCTTAAGTTTAGGTACACAAAAACTTTCTCTCACATGGTCATTTTTGTTTTATTAGTCAAATATTGGAACTGACAGCAAACAAGACACCATGAATTGGGACAGTATATCCCTTGCTCAGCTCATTGGGAATGGGTGCAAGGACAGCAGGAGAGGAAATCATAAAACAGCCTCATTTAGGTATGAAGCAGTTGATCAGATTTGCAAATACAACAAGTTTAGTGGAGTTGAAACTGTATGTAATTACAGTTTAATATAGTTAAAACTATATGTAATTCTATATACATACAGGTATCTATATTTTTATACATTCATTTATTTGGTGTATATCTGTATTTATCGGTGCATGGAAACAAAGTAGGAGATGGAGTAAAATTCCATAGTTATTACTGAAGAACATGTCTGATTCCTAAGTGCCCTGTAGCTTTCTGGTACCCAGCAAAAGCCAGACTAGAGCAACCCAATTGCATTCTGAAATGGCAAGAGAAGCTGGCTACTACAGCTGTCTTCTTGAGCAGAAATGTGCTGTGTGGAACACTTCCCTAAGTTATTTTTGTTCATGACATCTGTCCATAGTAATCTGGTTCAGTTTCTCTGGTTCCTGTTGCAGCAGGATCAGACGTGGCAGTAGCATATGGGTCCTGTATCTCCAGCTGTAGAGTACCTGCCTTCAGCTTGTATTTTCAGCAAAATAAGGCCTGCTTTTAATATGATTGAATATGCTCTCTTTAAACATTTGGATACTATGAATTAATGCGTTTCAGCACTGTCAGTTGAAAAGAAATAATCAAAGCTTCAGAGATAGGTTGGTGAATTTAAACCACTAATTTAATGTGGATTTGTCAAATTTTTGTGTAACAATGAAAAACGTGTTTCTATTTCATGGTTTAAGAAAGAAGGCAGCAGTGTAGCTCTTTTATTTTGTTTATTTCTAAATGTTTCATAGTGTTATGGCTAATGTATATATTTTTGTTTCCACTAGTGTACCTCTTTTGTGCTTCTCCTTGTTTGACAGGTATACTTTGGTTTTTTTTCCCTAGGTTTTATCTTTTAAAGTGACTGTAACTGCAGTGGAAGTAACTGCAGTCTGTGAATTCTGTTTCGTGTCCTGAAAGGCTCAAGGGTGGAAGTTTTTATCTCACACTCCTCACATGCAGAGACTGAAACTGCAGTAAAAATTGTTACCATTTTAAGGAGTTGGGCTTTAAGATTTGGAAAAAGAAATAGCTAGGCATCAGTTAGAGGAATAATTTTTAACTGATTATCCATTATTCTGTAAAATGCCAGGGTAGAGTCTATTGCTTTCCTCTCTCTCCAAGGACCATGTGCTTCATAATTAGTCTCATGTGATAACAACCTTAATGAACATGGAAGATGGCAGCATATACATTATAAAATACAAAAATAGTTTTAAAGCTTATCATACTCCCTAAAAAGGATATCTATCACAAAAACAGAGAAATGCATATGTTCACTGCTCTAGGCACAATGCAGAGAGCTGTCTTTTTGGGGGGCTGTCAGTGGAGGTCCTGTATGAAATGCAGGCAGTGTGTGTGTTTGTAACCACGAGGCTGCCCAGCATTTGTGAAACTAGGCAAGAATAAGGCTGATCATGGGAGGAGTAAATGTAACCAAATGTCATATGTTTGCTTGTTTCTGGCTTGGCACATGATTTAATATTGAGTAATTGGGCATAGTTGTAACCAGGGGCAGGTAGAAGTGACCAGTGCACTGGTGGAGGATTTACTTTAAGTTTGTGTTAATTAAAGAGTTGGTTGGAAGACCTCAAGATGCCCCTGCAGGAATTCTAAGTATCCCCAATCCCACACTGACTTGCAAAAAAAGTTTTTTTACTACTTGAGATGTGTTCTTGGCCCAGTGATCACACTGGCTTCATTCTGATAGGGCTGTCAACAGCCCAGCTGCTACAGCAGTTGTTTCTTCTGGATTTTGTACTGAAGATGATGGAAAGCTTGTTTTGGCCAAAGAATATTTTCTCTTAGCTGGTGCTGCTACAGGTAATTAGGTATTGACTGCTCCCTTTATTTCTTTATATTGGCAAGATATGAACTATTTCAGCACAGGAGATCAAATGCTCGGATGAAATGTTAGCTATCAAGTGCTGCCTTCTCAGCCTCCACTCAGCATGAAGAGGGACAATTACAACTCAGTAAGGGCAGTGGTCTGAGGCAGCCAAATGCCCTGTCTGGCTGCCAGAAGAGCACCTTGACATGTTGGAGCTGTTACTAAACAAACCTTTAATAATATTTTCCTTATTTTTTTCTCATTTTTTTCTTTGACTATTCAGCTCTATGGAATATTTTATATATGTAATATGGTCAAAATTTGTATGCAATTTCTAATAGCATTTGACTTCCCATAAGACTGTTGTGGTATTGGGGTATCACTGATCTGTATGGGACCACAATTAAGTAATTATTCTCTAGATTTGTTTCAGTGTTCTCCTTCTGTTGCTTTTATTACATAGGCAAAAATGCTATGCGTAGCGCTCTCCAAAATGAGAAACCTGTATTTCAGTGATTATGATGTGAGTACTTAAAAAACATGTCCAAACTCTTGTTGTTTACCACTGGAGTATGGATCTGCACCAAGCTGAGGTGTGCATGAGCTCAGCTGTCACTCCCAGGCTGGATGTGCTGAGCTGCTTCGAGCAGCTGAGGCTCTGCTGGTGAAGGGCCCAGTTCCCACAGACATGTCTCAATCTGGGAATTGCTGGAGCTGGTTCTGTTACATGTCAGAATGCTTAAAAAGGGCCAGGGAAGGGGAAACAAGCTCTTATGATGGGCATGTAAGTTCTCTGTTTCTGTATTTATGGTTTCTGCTTTTATGGTTAAAATTTTTACTCTGTTTTTCTGTGGTGAGAATCAGAATCACAGATCTATTCTAGGTATAAGTCTGACTTTGGATCTGACTTGATTCAGATCCAGATTTCTAAATCTAATAATAATTTCCATATTTCAAATAAATTTGATTTTTAAGTCCTATCTTGATATTTTTTCTGATTTTTTTTGTATTCATACAGCCATAGAAGAGTTTTCATGCCTCCTGAACTCAAAAGAATATCTGTGTTTTCCTGTATAAACCTTAGATGTGAATATGTTAATACAGATATTTGTTGAATATTCTCTGAACGTTTGTGTATAACCACAGAAACAAAGAAGCCCTAAAGAGAAAGACTTATTTTTATGCTGAAAGCATCAGTATGTACAGAGATAGAATCAAATTTCAAGATACAACCAATGCAGTACGCATTAGTGTTAAGAAAATATTAATGTGGAATTTATAAGTCCGTGCGCTTTCATAGAAAATGGACATTTTTGGACATGAACATAATTGTATATTTTGGAGAGAGAAGACTCTTCTTATTTGTCTTGGAGTCATGAACAGATTTGAAGTTGTTTTTCAGTGCTGAGGATTTCAGTTTATATGAGGTAGGAGGTTGGAATAAACAGCTTTATTGCTTGGGGACAGCTGTAGTGGTGATGCTTTTATTAACACTGTTTCATGCTGGCATCTATCTTGTTCTCCTTTCAAAAATAATATGTCATTTCATACTGTGTATTAAATAGGTGAGGCAGTTGGGGGCTACAGTCTGCTTTCAGTTATATGCTGCTGTGTAGATATGAATTCAGTGGCAGAATGTAACTCCATATGTGTCCACAATTAAAAAAAAAAAAAAAAAAAAAAAAAAAAAAAAGGAAGTCAGACATGGCAATTTTACATAAATACTCATGGTTTTTAATTATCATAGCAAAAGACATGCATCATCTTCAGGTGTGTATATCCTCACACTCAAACACTCTCACCCTCAAAGATGTTTAAGTTGAAGCAGGCAGATGATGGACTGCTGTGAAATGTAAAGAATCAACAGCCCATGTTGGAAGATGCCTGGTCACCTGGTCCTGCCTTTTGTGGGAAGGAGAGCCTAGGTGAAACTACCTGGTACCCAGTCCAATCCTGTCCCCACCTCCAGTGATGGGGAATGTATCATGTTCTTAGGGAGGTTCTTCTGGTAATTGATTGTTCTGGTATCATGTTCTTAGGGAGGTTCTTCTGCTAATTGATATAACAAAATCCCCCCCCCAAAAATCAACTAAACTAAACCAAACCAAAAAAATACCACCACCAAGTTTTTCTGGTATTAAGATGAAATCTTGCCTGAAGCAACTTGTACCTGTAGCTCCTTGTCTTCTCTTTGTGAAGAGAAAGCCTCTGTCCTCGCTGTAGCTACCATTTAAGTACACAAATCATGTGATTATGTTCCCCTGAGCCTTCTTCAGGGAGAAAAGACTTAACTTCCTCTGTCCTTCTTCACAGTGCATGCTTATCAACGCTTTAATCATCTGCATGGGCCTCCTCTGAGCCCTCTCCAGTGCATCCTTGTCTTTCATGGGATGTGGCAGCCAGAATTTGGCAAAATTCTGCAGGTGCAGCCTGAGTGGAGTGAGATAGCACAACTCTGTCTCTACTACTGTCTGCTATAAGACCCACTCTGTTTTGCAGAAACTTCCTGGAAAGTGTTGTCACACATGAAAGGCATTTTCTGACTTGCTAGTAACCATAGACAGCTATTTTTCTGCCCTTTTGGACCAAGCTGTTTAAATAATCCTGTTGTTATGGAAATTTATGGTAATGAAAGTACCATATCAGCAGTATAAAAAATACTCTCTAAAATTGCAGAGAGATCTATAGGAAGCTCTCTAATTATTGCTGTTAGGTTTTTTTACTGTTTCCTAAATATTTTGTGGAACAATATTATCTCATTCTTTTTAGACTTGTGTCTGTCCATGGCAGCAGGTCAAATAATGACATCTGAAAATCCATTAATGGCCCTGGAAAAGCGTTTTGTCAAAGGATGTGTCCAGTATTTCTTTCTTCTTTGTTTTCTTTCTTCATGCTGTGAAAAAGGTTTATCTTCTCATATGTTTACTTTCTACTCCAGGTGTATATAATATAGCCTTACAAATTGTTTATAACAAAAATGCTCTCTGTTTCGATAATGTGCTTGTTGGTGCTACTGTGCTGTGTCTTCAGCAGTCCTGATGGGAAAGTGGCAGGAGTTAGTCCTGTTCAGGGCAGCTTGGGGTGCTGATGGTCACAGCTTGGCCCCTGCACAGCTCTCCCTGCCTGGGAAGGAGCGGCAAGAGGTGGCCCCGAGGTGGCCAAGTGAGCAGCACTGAGCAGGAGCCTCAATTACAGAGTGCCACAGTAGTGCAGAACTGAAATACATTAGTAAAATTAAAATTTGTCCTCATTCCCTCGGTGGGTAATACAGTTAATGAAAATAGATCTAACCAAATTAAGATAATTTATTTCATTAGTTTACGGCACTGTAAAACTTTTCAGGGCACTACAGCCCTTTGGTGCAAACATGAAATTGATGCAGTTCCACTGATCACTTCAAAGACCACAAAGGTTAAAACTTTTAGGTGTATTAAAGCAATTCTGTTAATTGTGTCTATAGAGGATTCTCCCTTGCCCTTCCTAGTAAAGTATTCTTAATTTAAAATTCACATTATGCTTGTTCTGCATTCTGGCCTTTTAACCAAAGTGTAAATATCTGATTACTTGTGTCTTCAAGGCTTAAAAAGAAATTATGCATTTCTGTTTCAGAAGGTGGTACTGGTAGTACATGGTATTGATATTTTAACTTTTTTCCCCTTACATTTTGTATTCTTATTTGCTCTACCTTTCTCTTCTTCCTATGTACGTGCTTAATGATTTGTAATACAAGTTGCTATGGGGCAGGAGCCAATTCCTTGGAAGGAAAAAGGTGCCATCTCTACACTCCATTCCCTAAATCCCTTTCCTGTTGTATTTTGTGTAGTCTTGATGCTAGTTTTTTCTATGTTCTATCAGAAAGACACCGTTCAGAATGAGAAGGTTATCCCAGATGCTGTAGGTTTGGGTTTTTTCACCAAACCACAGGATGATTTGGCTTGGAAGGGACCTCTGTAAACCATGTAGTCCAACCACCTGCTAAAGCAGGTTCACCTGGAGGAGGCTGCACACAATCATATCCAGGCAGGTTTTGAATATCTCTGGAGAAAGAAACTCCACAAACCCTCTGGGCAGCCTTTCCCAGTGCTCTGTCACCCTCAAAGAATTATTTTATTGTTCCTTTCAATTTATTAGAAAACCCAAGATCAACAATTTGCTTCCTTTTGTTGTCAAACCAAGATTTTATAAGTCTGCATTAGAAGCCAGACTGGTGTTAGCTTAAGCTTCACAGTAATTTTTAGTTAACCTAATTCATGCTGTAGAATTTTCTTTACCTTAAACGGAAATGTAAGTTCCTTTTTTTTTTTAAAAAAGCTCTGATTTTCTTCCTGATACAATTTTTCTTCCAAATGTCCTATGTTACTTATTTTAAAGTAATATTTATATTATTAATTTGTAGCGGAAGTTTTAGTCCTTCCTACACTAAAATAAAAACACTTCCTACAGTAAAATAAACTTTTCTGGACTGGAACCATGAATGTGAGAGCTCTTGCCTTCTCCTTAGAGTTTTTTGGAGAGATTCAGGTAAATCACTGCTGAGACCTGCAAGTCAGTTAACTCCAAGCAGAACAGAAATAAGGACAAAGTGGTTATTTTGGGCAAGGGAAAAAGAAAGAATTTATATGAGTGGGAAACATATCTAATTTATTGAATAATAGCAGGATGATTTTAGTAGTTTTTCTTTCATTTAATTTTTTTTTTTCACTAATTGTGAGGAAGGTGTTTTCAGAAAAGGGCCAAATTTATCCTTTCTGTTGTGCAAGCGATAGTTAATTTCTCTTCCATAGATGGAAATAGGAAAGATGCTTACTCTTTAAAATCCTGTGTGGACAGGTCATTTTAATGACATGGTTGCACTTGGCTGTAAATGGGAATGATACTGTGTAACTTAGAGTTAATAATTGAGTTATGTGGAAGTAATTTGCCTGGGTTTTTGTTTTATTTTGGGTTTTAAATTTAATCTTGATTTTATTGCTTAAGTATGAGCATTTCATTATTGAATGTAGTACTCTCTGGCTGTATTAAGTGGTTACTGTAATTTATAGGATACTTTGAGAAATGTCATGATTCTCATGAAGCGACACAGCATGATTTAGAGAGTGCAGCAACTGAGTGAATGGAATTACGTAATATGACCTGGTTGATGCGAGATACCATAAGATTTTAATTTATCTCCTCAGTATAACTGGGTGAGAAAAGAAGATAATAGGCCAGCCCCACCAGTTCATTCAATGGCTGATTTGAAAATAAGTCCATTCTAAATTGATCTTGAAACTACTTGGAGTTGCAGATGAAATGATCACCTTCCTATCCAGGGCCAGGGAAGGGGCAAGCAGGGACAACAGGAATTAAGTTGGTTAGGAAATGGGGCTGTAGGAAGAAGTTATTTACTTCTATATATGTCACATACAAAACAGAAAAAATCAAAAATACCTCTCTTTTTTGTAAATACTTTTATTTGATCTGATTTAATATATAATTAAAAATATTTTCAGAAGACCCAAGAACTAACTGCCAGCTGCCTTGTGGCACTGGTGAGGTTTTTTGCTAAATCGCTGTGCCAGAAAAAGATCAGCAATGTGTAACTGATGCAGTTACTCTGAGGGAGTAACTCTGAGGGATGTTCAATATTCAGCATACACAGAATTAAAGCAAAACCAGCACAGCTAGTGTTTTCATGAAGAAGCAATTGATTGGATGAACAAAAGAACTTCTGTAATAAACTGCTGTAAAGATTTTACTTTTCAAAAACATACTCCTTGTAATTGTGATCTCTTGAATGTGATATTTTAAGAATAAGAATTGTTGCCCAGATTCCCTATTAAGGTATTACTTTCATGCCATCTACATGTGGTTAGTTCAACTTCATTTGGATTGAATTTTTTTATACTTCTTTTTCCAGCCAAGAGTTGACTATTTATGAATTTGAGAAAAATCAGTTGGCTATTATTTTCATTTGCTATTGAAAATATTGCTTGTTTTCACAGTTTAAAAATTAGGGAAGTATACATACAAAATTATTTCCAAAATGGGAGGGGAAAAAAAAAATTACCCTTTGGTTTGTGTACTGTGCAGGCATTTTTACAGACTGCGGAATAAACACATGAGGAGTGAGGTATGAGGATGATCAAAATCTTTGGTTCTCTTAATATTTCTTCAAAATACTGGGCAGGAAGCCATTGTTCAGTCACTTTGTTTCAAAGCCTAATTTTCTCTTCCTTTTGTGGTACCCTCATTTGTCTTCAAAAATCTTTACTTTCCAAATGTGCAGGAACTCATGATTGCTCATAATTTTCACTCATTTATCCAAAGCACAGACTAAATTAAATGTCCCAAAAGAAAGCAGCCATATCTGTGAGCATCTCTGCTTAAAATTATTGGAAGTTGCATTGAGTATTCCATCATGACATTTTTATTTATCTTGGTTTTCTAGGCAATAATTGTTACAACAAAGCACAGACTTCATAAAGTAAGCCTATCAGTAGTTCTTCCTTGTAGTTACACTTTACCACTATAAATAGCTTTCTCTTCATGAAAACACTTTTAACTTGTCCTCTCATCAGAACTGATAGATTTTTCTAGTGACTTGAAGGTCTTTAAAACTGTTCTCCATGCAAAGGCATAATATAATATTTCAGTAGGATAGTGTGTATTGTAGCATTGTGAAATTAATGTAGCTCAAGGACTCTAACAATTTTTTTCTCTAAATTACCAAATGTCAGCTTTACTGAAAAACTGAAATTGGGTAGGAGGCACTTCAGCTCCACACTGGTGTGTCAGAAGTCAGCAGAAAATACTGGGATGTAGGCTGGGAAATATGTAGGAAAAAAAAAAAAGTTGATATAATATAGTCAATGTGAACCCACATTGATCTACCACATATCTACCTACACCATTGCAGCACAGCTCCTTAATGGTTGTTTAATTTTATGGCTTCTTGTGTTTGAGACACTCTGTGCACATCAAATAAAAGGAGGCGCAGTTGAAGAGTTGTGCCCTCCCATGGTGGCCCCTGGGGCTTTGAGCACGTTGGTGTCAGGCGCGCTTTGACTTGTCTTACTCCAAAGCCAAACCTCAGAAACCTTGGGTGAAACCAGAGCAGTGCTTGCCTCTGCTGAGTGCAGCTGAGACTCTTCTGGTTGGTGGGAGTCGCTTCGAAACCGTCCCTGGGGCTGTTTCAGCAGAGCAAAGTGCAGCTGCTGGGGCTCGCTCCAGCTGGGTGTTCTGGTGAGAAGTGGAACCTCTCTGGGTCATCTCAGCCAGGAGACTCCACAAAGATAAAATTCATTTAATTTGTCATGCTATCCTTGTTTGCCAGTTAGAACACAGCAAACCTTCACGTTCAGTTTTGTAGTTCAGCTTTGTTGCTCTGCTCGTCCATATAAACATTGGAGTTAAATGAAGTATAGGTCCATATTTGTTTGAATACTAGAAATACAGAGCAATTCATTAACTGCTCATTTTAAAGTGTTGTCACTGATGACATGCATATATATACATATATATGAGCATCTGTATGTTTACATGTGCCCATATATAACTTCTAAAACTTTGAGACAAAGCTTTTTCATGCAATTCTTTCTTTTTTTAATATTCATGTTGCTCCGTTTTCAGTAATTTTCTTTATATATTGTGCTTATCTTGATAGCATCAGTAAGTGTTTTAGGTAAGAAAGTGCCCAGTGTGAACTTGTGCATGCTAGAAGAGGTAGTAAATAAATATAATTTTAAAAAAAAATTGATTCTGCTTTTTTGACCTTGCAAAAAAAAAAAAAGCAAACCAAACCAAACCAAAACAATTACAAAACAAAAAACCAAAAAAAAAAAAAAAACAAAAACCAAAAACAAAACCAAAAAATAAACCCCCCAAAAAAACAGTGGTCTTTATGGTTATGTCTACAGCTAGCCTGAAATGACAGTGATGGCATAAGATGCTGGGTTTGTTCAGTCATGCAGACCAGCATCAACTGAATTATTTTAATGATCTGGAAAATTGGTCTTAGATCGTGTGTTTTTAAAGTAATAATAATAATTATTCAAGTTTAGATTCTAAGAAGATCTTTCAGGAAAGGCTGACCTTCGAACATACAGGTCTTACACATCAATTTCTTGATTTTCAAATCCTGGATTATTTTTCTTTCCCTGTTTTAATACCAGTAGTCTAAACTGGGATAGCTTTTAGGTAATTGTGGTGATTAAAATCTAAGAGACCCTAAATAAGATTGGGGGTCAGCAGAACTATTAGTGTATCACTGTCTAACAACATGGAATCTGGGAAGCACAGTCCTCCTTGCATCTGGAGCAGGAAGTTTGAATATAGTTTCAGAAGGAATGTTTCAGAAATGAATGTTCAGAAGGCATGTTTCAGAAATGCTCAAATAACCAGTTCATGCTCAGTTCTATAGTATTATAAATCTGTAAATGGATTCTGCAAGTCACCTCTCTAATCTCAGTGACAAAGTTAATTTTTTCCCCCCTGAAGACATTAATTTCACAGTGTGGGAGAGTTTAACTTGCTTCCCTTCTGTTTTAGTAGATTGGCAGAGCAGATATCACCGTCCCTGACACATCATTTTTTCTCCATACAGTACAGTGTACTTTGGGACTGTAGCGCAGCAGTAAACTGGCCCAGGAATCACAATCTGGGCTTATTGTCTTTGTGTATCCTCAAGGAGTAATATTTTAAAGTCACTGCATCTGTTGGTACTTAAGAGCATGATTTTTACGTTTAATTTTTGCCAGTTTTTACCATCTGTGTATCTGTTTTTTGGCTCCTCACTTTAATTTTTCAGTTTAATTTCTCAGTTGCACTGGGATTGCTTTCTCTTTCTCACACATGCTCTTTTTGAGTCATCTATGAACTTATATTAAAAAAAAAAGAAATTATTTACAGCAGTTGCATAATAAAGTTCTTGGCCTTCACATTTTGATTTTTTTTAATGATCTCTTTATATTGAGTCGCCTAGTAAATGCATGTCATTTTTGGAAGTGAAATAACTTATTATACTTTGTTTAAGTTTTAAAAAATTACTTTTGGATTAAATTGAAGCATTTTGGCGGGAAAAGCTAGCTTGATCACATTCGACACATTCTAGTCTTTCATACTCATTTAGTTTTTAATGCCCAGGAGGGAACAATTTTCTTGAGAAATCTGTGTTATAATCATAAACAGACATAATTCAGTAATTTTCTCATGAAACATTGGCTGAAGTTCTTGCACTAATGACTTGAAGCTCACACAAGCGGGAAGATTTTTGTTTAAATTCCAAGAAAAATAGTAATGAAATACATTAAAATAGAAACAAAATACACATGCAGTGTGTTACGGGCTGTTTTCAATAAAAATAATGTATCTTCATCAATTGGATATATGTCTCACAAATTCAGGCATGTTCTAGCATTTCAGGAATGTTCTGATAATACTTGAGTCATTTTTTCTGATTATCCCTGATAATTTTTTCACAAAAATTTACATTGTGTAAATAAATGTTTAATGTACAGGGGTAACTGTATAGCACATTTATCAAATGTTTTGCTTCTGTATGCATTTGTGAGTATTGAAAACTCCGTTGCTGCTCTGATCTTTTTCTTGACTTACATATTTTGCTTCTTAAAATATAATACATTCCTTAAGGTCAAATTTAGTGGCTTTTTGAAAGCATGCTAGGTTCTTTTTAGCCTCTTTCAAATATTTGTAACTGAGGATTTTAGAGTTTGTATTTACCTCCTGGTGTACTTGTGTGATCTTAGTTGATTTTCAAACCAGAATATGGACTTGCTTCCCTTTTGGTCTTTTCCCCCTCTCCCTTGGTTTCTAATGAATATTTTGTGTAGTGCTGCACAAAACACTGAGTAAGGATTACATTAAAATACCAGCACTAGCAGGTAAAAACATGTTCCTATTTCAATATCTGGCTTTTATAATCTATAGTGCCCCCTCTCTTTGTGTGGGCTGCTTTGCATTATTAACAATACTGTAGATTATCACAAGACCAAAAAAACCAATACTTTGTTCACCTGAGAAAGGAAGTGCTTGTTCACCTTTTGTTTTGAAAAGAAGTGTTGCTGTAAATTTCCAAGGAGCAGAATTAGACATCTTCTATTCTGTCTGCTTACGCCTCTAGCTTTTCCTAAAAACAGTGTAACCACCTTTTACTGTGTTACAGAACTGGATGGGCATGGTGGTTTTTCCTCTAGGTATTTGAGCTTTCATTCCTACTCAATTCTTGTTGTGTCTTGCTGTGAACTTTTAATTTTTTTTTTTAGAGGAAGAGGACTGTTAGTGCTTATCTTAAATTATCAGTTGTCATTAAAAAACATAGTGGTATTTTCCATATTTACTAGTAGAGATTCACACTGTATTTGAATGGTACCAGAAATTATTTAAATTGCATTTTTCCAAATTTGAATTCCAAAATTTCCCTCGGCTCTAAGGATTTTATTACTGCCAAGTTTAAATTCCCAATTTCCTGACAAATATTTTGTTATTTTAAGTAAAAATAAAAGCTGAGTGAGCAAACTGGTATCTATTTCCTGGTGTACTAAAAAATGTGCATGTTTTTACTACTCTAAAAACAGGGAGTTGATTTAGAGTTGATAATATGTAATCAAGAGACTGCTGATTATTTGTTACCCTGTAGCTTGACTCTTAAAAATTTGTGTTTTCAGTTGTGAGTATAAAATAAGAATAAGAAGTAGGATGCTTTCAGTCTGTTAGAAAGTGCCAGTCCCCTCTGCTGTCTGTTTTTCCTTGCCTTTACATGGAAAGCAAGTTGTCTCATAGTCTCATGAGATGGAGCTGTAATACCATGAGAGCAAAACCATGCATGCATTGGTCTTTCCATAGTGTCAGTTTACTTTGGGCTGAGAGAGAATTCAAGTAGTATTAAGTATTCCTAATGCAATGATGAGAGCAATCCATCTGTTTCCAGCAGCATCCCCTCTGAACTGGAGCCTTGCTCTTACCTTGAATTTTAACTAACTCTGTAAACCTAAGGATAACCTACATTTGAATGCCAGACACTCAGCTGTACTTTACTGTATATTTTATAAGGCTTGTGGGAAGCTCGATGTAAACTTTCGTCTTAGGTAGTTTCCCAGCTGACTGGTACGTTGAATTAATTGAGAATGGGAAGGGCTGGTTCAATTCATTTCCATCCCTTGTATCTCAGTCATTTTCTGCAACGATGCATAAGGATTGATTGCCATAGCAACAGTGTTTTAGCTTGTACTACTGTGAATGTGGTTAATGATAATAGAATTATCTACTCATTTTAAATCCTGTTATATTATTAGGTCATCTGAGCCATCCTCTTGCTATGTATTGAGTTATTCCCTGTAGCCTATCTTGTAGTTCTTTTTCCATGCTGCTTTTACAAGTGTTGAGCAGTGGGGATTCTGCTTCTTCCCTTGGGAGACTTTAGAAATCTGATATATCACTCCATTAAGGACCTTTTCCTGATATTTAGCCTCATTTTACCTTCTTTCTTCCAGCTATATGAATTTGTACTACATGGAAGTTCTGTTCTTATCTTTTTCCCTATCCAGTATTTAATCCTACTTATTTACCTGTGTAGAATATAACAAGCTGAATATTTGTGTATTTTGCATAGGATTTTCTTATAGAAAAAAGCAGGTTTATAAATACATCCTTTGTTCTTCTTTACTACCTCATTTAGGCAGGAAACTCCCTTGTACTTAGCTACTATTTAGATTACCTGAACTGCATAGACAGAAAGCTTCCAACTTTCCCGTGTTTAACTCTGTTTGCTGCAGCCTATGCACCACTGGGTGGTTCTTGTATGTGCATCTGTGCCTCGCTCTGCCTGATGTTAACAGTGGTCTCTGGTGAGTGGGAAGATGTAGTTTTTTTTCTCATAAAGCTGAGAGATGTTCCTTCATCCTTGCTACAAGTCAGCAGAAGTTCCTTATCTCTCTGTCCTTCTTGTGTGGCCAGGCTGACAGTGGATGAGCATTGGTATCTCTGTTCTCCTCCACATCCACAGGTTGCACTCTTCCACTCTTGAAATTTACTGTGTTTCTAAATCCTTTCTTCCTACATGGTTTTTCCACCATAAAAAGAAATATTTTCTAGTCATGTCCAAAGAGACATACAGGTGGAAATGCAATTATCTTCTCCTCTTCAGGCATTTCAAACTCTGTGCTGTGTGTAGGTCAGGCAGACCAGAAATTAGTTTAAAACAAATAAAATATAGTATTTTTGCATACAATGGGACTGTGGGTTACTTGCCTATAGATTGCATCATTGGCCCACTCTGTGTCTGCTTTCTCCAGTGTTGTTGTGGAGCTGCTAAATAAGACAGAGAAGTAATGTAACCTTTCCAGTAATCTGTTGTTTTCACTGCTACTTATGCTTTTTGACTAATTTTCTTCATTAATATTTGATGTCATACTGTTGCCCATTTTCTCTTGTTTTATTCATCTACAGTATAAAGAAGTACTTATTACATTAATATTCATCCATACTACCCCAAGAGGGCAAAAGACTAAAGGGAATTGCTATTTGAAATTACTTTTAGAGCTAAATTTGATGCAAAATTATTTCATACTGCAGTTAAAACCAGATACATTAAATATACATCAGTGTTATCACAGACTATTTAATGTATGGTTATTTTTCCTGGGTTTTTTTGTGGTTTATTGGTTTTTGGTTTTGAGAGGTGCTTCTTTTTTCAAGATTCTTCCCTTTGAAGCTTAGGCTAGATTGCATTTCTCAGAATTCTTTAACTTGCATTTATTCTTGTTTCAATTTCCTCAGTCACCA